ACTACTTGTGTCTTTTACTTGTGGATTATCCATAAAGCCTTTTTCAACTGCTCTCGGTTTTTTTCTATGCAATTTACTTTTAACTGTTGACTTTGACTTCATACGTTTTGAATTCAGGCTAAAGTAATTTAAAACTTCTAGTACACCATTAGCACCATCATTATAATGCGCACGACTAAGTATGTTCCCATTTCGATTGTAGACTTACTTACAAATGTGTGCTTTGGTACGTGAGAACAATTGAATGTAAAGATTCATTGACATTTTGTGTTGCACCGTGCAAAAAATTAATTCGAAGATCATCAGCTTGAAGATCTTTGATGATTGGTAAAGAAGATTCCTATTCCAGATAGGTATACACAATTTTAGTTTGTAACTTTTAAGACTAAGAGCTCAATCTTTTCGCCAATTTTCAATTCTTCTGGGCAAAACTGATGTTGTAATTGCAGGTTTTCAAAACTGGTGAAATGAAATAAAATACCATAACTTGATTTTTTCTTAACATATAAGTTGTCGAACTTTTTACAAATTGCAGTGCCATAATAGTTTTGCATAAAATTAATACATTTTTCTGTTATGCTACATCTGTCTAATAAGGTAATTTAGTGTTCACATATTAACTGCAAAAAGTGTGCAAACCCTTTTCTACATGAATCAACATCTGATAAAGTTGATGGCTGAAAGCAGTTATTGTATGCAATTACAGCTCTCACCTTTTTGAAAAAAAAAAAGTTAATTAAAAAATAATATTCTTGATTAGATTCAATTTTTAAAAGTTAACATCTTAGATAAGTTTTTAATATAGTTTAACTTATAAGTTAAACTATATTAAAAACATAGTTTTTAATATAGTTTACATAATTTTAAAAAAGTATTAAAAACATAGTTTACATAATTTATAAGTTAAAACATCTTATAAATTATGTAAACTTATCCTAAAAAACTCTTTATAATAAATACAATATTTCTAAGGGTTATTATACCCTCGTTATTCAAGTAATATAGAAAAATTGTTAACTAAACAAACAAATAGTAAAACTTCAATTTGATGTGTTCTTGCGTCTTAAATAAAAAAAAAAGGTTTTCAAAACGACGTATGTGACGTAATCACCGTTGTCTTCATTCAAACCACCTTTATTTAGAGAACATTGGTAATATTGAAGTTCCAAAGACTCTCTAACTTTTTTTTTTAAATGATCTACCTCTACTTTAACAGTGTTGTTTTTAACCGAAGGCATCATGGCGATTTATGGAACGCCCCGCCACAGCCGAATTTTTTCATTTTCCCTCAAAAATATGTTTTTTATGTTGACAAATGCAAGTTGCAATTTTGAGTTTTGTTTCACCTATATAGAGTTTTCACACGAACTCTCCAGCTTGTAAACTCCTGGATAAAAGATACTGGGAACTCAAGGCTTGTTTTTTTGAGTTAATAACTGTTGAAGGTTTTTTGGTGATTTAAAAACTGGAGTATAGCCTGCATTTATGAAATATCTTTTTTCATTGATTTTTTAAAATTTGTACCTATGGCAGAGAAATATAAGTTTTGTGATTTTATTGCTGTTGTTTTGTTGATAATTTTTATTTTTTACTTTTTTAGTACTGCTTTGAAGTATTTATTTATTATAACCATTTTCTATAAAAATTTCTGTAAGAAACTTAAACTCATGATTTATGTGTTTTTTACTGCATAATGCAAAAGCTTTTTAGATAAAACCTTTAAATACACCATAAATTATTTTTGTATCGTAACAAGAATGCGGCTTTATTTGCACATTTTTTATTGCATCTTTGCGATAGGTATTAAAAATATATGTTCCAGATTCGTTGTTTGTTATTTAGAGATCAAGAAAATTTATTGTGTGTGAGTCACTTTCTTTTTCAATTGCATATTTGATACTTGTGTGTTGATTATTTAACAAGTCGAGAAAACGTTCTGATTTTTCCTCATTATTAAAACGAGAATGGATATCGTCATTATATCTTTTAAATGATGTTACACATATTGGTGGTGTAAGATATTGTGCATGTATTAACGCTTTTTCTTCATAATGTTGTAGAAAACTCTCTGCCATCACTACCATTAATGATAAAACTATAAGACCGGCATTTCCTAATGTGTGTATGTTGTTCTCAAGTAAAAAATAACAGTTCGATAAACACAAATCTGAAAGCATTTTTTTTTTCTGAAAACGATAATTTTGAATTAATTGCAGGACTGTTACGGAGTTGTTTTATTAAAATACCAATTGATTCTTTTACTGGTATTGAAGAATAAAGATTAGCAATATCGAAGGAAATTTGAAATTCACCAGGGTCAATATATCATGATTGAGAACATTCAACAAATTGTTTTGAATTTCGAAGTTTGTTTTGTAAAGATTGGAGGTAGGTTAAATAAGATTTACTAAATAATTGGATAATTTATATGTAGGTGACCCTATTGGGCTTACTATAACTCGCATTGGGTAGTTATTTTTTGGTTTGTGTGCTTTGATGACACCATATAATCGTGGAAGAGTATCATCACTTGGATAAATTGATCTATATTCTATATGATCTAAATTGTAAACTTTGATTTCAGATTTCGTAAAGTATTCTGAACTTTACGTAGAAGTAATCCAAGGTTTTATTCAAGGAATTTATCCAAAGAATTTATGTTTTTTGGATTTAAAAGGCTTTTCACAAATTGGAAAGTTTGCATCATAAATGGAATAAAATGTTTTAAAAAAGTTTTCGTAAATAATGTTTGCATTGCTGTTAAAGTCTATTTGCATCCAATGCAATAACGACGATTGTTCTTTAAACTGTTATACTATTTTTAAGACTAATTTCTTTATTAAATGTTGGAGGAATGATTATAGAATGGAAATGCTAAAAGTTCTTAAAACAATTTTTTTTTTTTAAAATTTCTTTTACTTTGTTGTGTGCCACCTTTAACCCTAACAAAGCCTAACTAAAGACACAGATATACATGTAATAATTATTAAAAAGATTTTAAGATGATTTTTACTAATTGTTAATACAAATATATATGAAAATTTTTAATTTTCAAAAAAACTTTTTTTTCACCTTATTATACTTGATCAAAGTAACCTTTTTTCTAAGTATTTAATTAAATATAGATGCAATTTTTCAACAAATTTGGTGTTATGAAACAATATAGTTTCTTGGATTTTATGTTTTTCTCGTTTCTCTACTGGTTCAATTTTTTTTATCAACATAAACTATGGCTGCTATAAACGCACCATATTATTTATTATTCTTTAAATTTATTTTTCACTGCGATAAAAGCTACACGGCTGTCGAAAATTAAATTTTTACGAACTGTGTTTTTTATTTCAAGGCATGTACTGATTAGCAAACTATTTCTTAAGTTAAAGCATTCTTTACATTAGCATGGAATCTTTGGAAGAAGAAATAAAAAAAAGAAGTTATTGTTCAAGTTTTAGCAAAAATAGAGTAAACAACACAAATCGTGAAGGGTTTATGAAGATTTTAAAAGCGTAAACAGTTGATTAACAAAACATATTCTAAATGAGAATTTAAACAGGGGAGAATTGCCGAAATTGGAATACTTAATGAAAAATATTTTTTAAATGAATACGACTTAACAATGAAAACATTTATGAGTTGATTAAGTCAAACAAACTACTTTATTTTTAATCATAACTTAACTTAATTTTGTTGCATTGTTAATGGAAATAAATTCGGTTTTGTAAAAGCACCATTTTGCTCAAATTTTAGCAAAAGGTTTCCTATATTGGAACGCTTTTATTTAATAAACTGCATGCTTCTTTTAAAAAATACTTAGTAAAATCAATAATTTTTTTTATTCCTATGTTTTAGTTGCCTCGAAAAATTTTTATAGACTTGTCACAGAGCACTGTGGAAGAGCATTTAATTAAAATGCTTACGTTTTTTTCTTTACCGATGACGCAAAATATTCTCAGAGCTTGCTTTGAACCCTAGATCTCAGTATTTAATCCTAGTGCATTAAACTCTGCGCCATGGCCGCTATAAATATTAATTAAAAATTAATTTTTAACTTGACATTGGCAATTTTAATAATTTATCTCCAACTTATAATTGGATTAAAATTGCTGAGGTAATATTAAAATTGTTAAATAATAAATAATAAATATATAAATAAATACATGCGTTTACACAGAGCTACTGCGTTTTGCCCAAATAAAGGGTAAGCTGGCAAAACACTTGCTCAGCAGTGCAATAAATTATTATATTACTTTCTAGAATTTTTTGGTGGAATAGTTGGCTATTCACCATTAAATATAATTTTAGTTTTTTCTTATAAATAGTTGTGTTTTTTTCACCTCGAATGATACTTGGAAGAATATTCCAAAGTCTAGGACCATAGTGGGATACCGCCCGATCACCAAAACGGTTGCTGGATTTTGTTTCTTTTAATTTCAGAGTTCTCTCTGACGTTGAGAAGTGAACCAAATTACACAATGATGCTGGCGCTTCCTGGATATTAAACTTGTGCATTCAATTTGATAAATACCTGGTTATTTATTTGATTTTCTTTTCTGGTTTTAAATATCAGTCTAGCTGCACAATATTGAACAGACTGCAGTTTTTTTAATAGTGACTTCTTAATTCCAAAGTAGAGGGAGTTGTAATAATCTAGCTATGAAAAAATTAATGAACATGAACTATGGTACACAAATCCTTATGCAATAAGAATTGTTTTATTTTAAATATTTTGGTGATTATATTGAAACAACTTTACACAATCTTATTTATCTGTGTTTTCAAAGACAGTTCCTTGTCAAGTATCACATCCAAACTTTATAATATAAAACAGTTTAATCTTTTATTATCGTTAATCATAATCTTAATTTAGTTCTCGTAAATCATAATAAGTAAAATCAAATATTTTACATTATATAATACAAACTATTTCTCTATCTGCATTTACCGGTTAAGGAATGATGTTATAATTTGCTCTGGATCTGTTGTTACGTTACCAAAAAGTTTTTATTATTTTTTAGCTAATGTTCCTTGTGCACATCATTGTACGCATGTTGTTACGTGGTTTGAGAAATTATTTAAAGAAATACAACAAATGCGTGCAGAACAGACTGTGATAAATCATCGTTTAGATCAACAATGTCAAAATGAGCATCAGCATGTAGATAGCAATTTTTTGAATTGTCTTCCACTTGAGAGTGAAGTTGATTTTGAACGATTCGGTATAGAGATAGATAGTTACAATGGAAAACGAACTTCTTTGGTAAGTAAACTTTTGTGATGTTTCTGTTAGGTATTCTATGGGTAAAATATTTGAAGGCATTTAATTTGGGTTGTTTGAGCAAATTTGTCTATTTTATTTATATAAATATATAAAATTGTTTTTTTAAAGTTTATGTAAACCAAAATGTACAGCATAAAATGGATATTTTCTAATTGTTGTTCCTGTTTAGATACGTTATTTGCGGAAGAGGTCAGACTCAAATGTCAACAAGACCATACTAAATATATTGAGAAGTTTATTAAAGGACAATGTTCTTAGTTGTTATTCTAGAGATGGGAAACGCGGAAAAAAATTTTTTCTTCAGCAAAGGGAAACTTTGTTTCCATAATTCAAGGTCAATATATTTAATATATATGAAAATTACAAGTATTACTATGTATAAATTATATATTATCTTATTTATAGTTATATATTACCCTAAATGAATCATTAAATGTATATTTATATATATATATATATATATATATATATATATATATATATATATATATATATATATATATATATATATATATATATATATATATATATATATATATATATATATATATATATATATATATATATATATATATACAGTTATGGCCATTGAAATCCGACCACCAGTATCATTTTACTTAAAACTAGTTTAATGTAGTAATAAACAATTGTATTATAGCAATAAAAGAATAACAGTAGCAATTAATGATTATAATGTAACATATCGCACATATTTAATGTTTATATTAATGTTTTTTACTCTCAGGTTCGTTGAATTTAATATTTAGTGGCACCACCATGTGCTTTTAAGACTGCATTAATGCGATCTGGCATTGAATCCACGAGAGCCTAACAATATTCTGGTGTTATTTCAGTAATCCAAACTTAACGAATTTTTTTTGCTAGATCGTCCAGTGATGTAGAATTAGTTCTGGATACTGCTGACTTTAACTTGATGGATTGATTAACTGCTGACTTTAATGCGATCCTATCACGGATGTTCTTTAAAGACAGTCGCGGTTTGAGGGCTGGACGACAAGAACGTAGGCCTACATCTTTCAATAAACGTCTTTTTATTGTTCAAGTGCTGACTGTAACGTCATTAGGTAGATCTGCCCTGATTTGTGTGCTGGATATTGTTTGATCTCTCACAGCAGCCCTGCGTATCTTATTGTCTGTTTGTTTGCTAGTAATTCTAGCTTTACCAAAACGTTTTCTGGGTGGATCCCTTGTGGATCCCGTGTCTTTGATTAGTTGTATAATATCATGAACAGTTGATTTTGCCATTCGATATCTTGCATATATCTGATGCTCACTTGCACCATCCTCCCATAAAAGTTTAATATTAGCACGAACACTTTTCTTCGTAGTCATAATTAAATTGTGACAGTTAAATGATAATCCATACCCTACAATGAGATATATAGCTTAATAAATTTTACAGTGCAATAAAATAAACACTAATGTGATTGTCTAAAAGCTAATTAACTAATCTTTGATAACAGGGAAGAAAATAAATTGATTATTCGAGTGCATAGACTGTTTTTCTTTATACTCAGCAGTGGTCGGATTTCAATGGCCATATTTAATGTCTTTTGAATGTGATTAGTCAAAAAATTTAATACATTTAATTTAGATGTTGTTTTGAAAGTTCATAAAGGTGTGTCGTTGGTCCAAATAAATGTTGCGATTTTGGAACAATTAAAGAGACTTAATCAAAGAAATCGAAATTCTAAGTCTACAACAGCTGAAGAAACTACACCTGAAATTCCAGAGTTTGATTAAAAACCAATTATTTTATTAATTTTAAAATAAATTGTTAAAAAATAAAGTCTTTTTTATTGTTGAGAAGACTTATAAGTTTGAAAGATCCTGCTTACACACTTTGGTTAGCACTATGACATGTTACTTATTTAGGGATAGGCGAGGGCTTCAGTACATACACTGACTGATTTAGGGAGAACTCGCAAGTGAGTTAAAAACACATCCATTTTATTTATTATTTATTTTATTTTTTTGAAGAAGGTCAGGTTTTGATTATTGATGAAAAAAATTTTTTGTTTTATGACATGTTTTAATAAAACATGTCATATAACAAAACAGTTAAATTTTTGTTCATTAAAATCGACAATTATCTTCATTTTGTATTTAACATAATCAATATTTTAAATATAAAATATAACATTTTATTCTTTCATTTACAGGTGGGTAAAGTTTTTGTTTTATTTTGAAACGAGAACATCATTTGCTCTGCAGCTGACGTTCTTGTTTTAACAAAAAATGTGCTATTTTTTTGATAATGTTCCTTATTAACATCATTGTAACAGTTGTTTTTTGCACGGTTATTTAGGTTGCTTGCTTAATTTCATTAAATAATTTATGTTATTATGGCTACAAAATTGTTTCGAAAAATACAGCAAATGCTGGAAGCTAGAACAGGAAGTTATAAATCAGCATCTTGATGGTAAAATGAAAATCAACAACTAGTAGCACTTCTTTGAATTGTCTTTAAATTAGAGTAATGTTAATTTTGATTGGTATGGAGATAGATGCATACAATGGAAAACGAACTGCTGTTATGTGAGTTTTTATAAATTTTAGTCTTTTTGAGGGCCTAATTAAAAAAAAAGATACTCAACTTGGTTTGTTTGGAACAATTTTGGTTATATGGTATAAAAACTTAAAAAATTAATTTAATGACTAAACAGCTTTAAAAATAATCTTTTACTACAAATAATGAACAGACACTAAACAAAGTTATATACTTAATTGTAGGTAGTATGTTCAGCTGTACATAGTATGTTTTTGTAATTTTTCTTTATATCTAGATTTTTGGAAGAGGTTAAACAACAAGATGTAATTCGAGGTAAAAATATTTAGTATATGATATTTTTTATTTACTTAGATATGTGTGTGTATTTGACATATTTTTGCCACACAAAACATATTTTTTGTGGGGAAGAAATATATGTTTGGGAGGAGAACATTCTTGAGACACTGTAAAAGTATTTTAAATAGTATTGCTTATTTTTGTTGTTGGTACATTCAGATACTGTTTGGTATGTTTTTTAGAAACTATTTGTACGTTTAGATATTGTTTCTAAAATTCTTAAAGACGTGTTATTCGTTCAAGTAAACGATGCTGTTAAAGCAGGTTGTCTGAGCAGTTAAAGAAACTTAATCAAATGATTCAAAATTCTCTTCTTTAAGCAGCCGAAGCAACGATACTCGAAATGCCTGGATCGGATAATTAACCAAGTAATAAATAAACTTTGAAATAAAGTTTAAAAATAAAAAATGTCTTGTTAATGTATATTGTATTATATATGGCTTATAAATTTAATTGCCGAAGTTACATAAATAATACTAAAAAAAATTCTATAAAGATAAGTATTTAAAACAACCTATCAGCGGCCATTAGTACCGTAAAAAATACGAAAAAAAAATACGTATTAATACGTTCAATAGATACGTATTTAAAACACCCAATCAGCGGCCAAAAGTACCGTAAATAATACGAAAAAAAAATACGAAAAAATACGTATTAATACGTTTAAAAGATACGTATTTAAAACGCCCAAACAGCGGCCAAAAGTACCGTAAATAATACGAAAAAAAAATACGAAAAAGTACGTATTAAATACGTATAATTTTGTTTGGGTTATGACTCCTAAAAATTTTAAAAATAAAATTTTCTCTTTTTATGATTGTATTTTCAATGAATAGGTCAGGTAAGATATTTTTGATTCTCTTTTTTTTAGAGGTTGGGTGAAAAAGTATAAACTTTGTTTTATCCGTATTCAAGGATAATTTATTTTTTCTAAACCAATATGATATTCTTTTTAATTCATTAACCATATTATTAAAAAGTATTTCTATGTTTTTGAGCGAACTGAAATAAATTCGTATCATCTGCAAAATTTACGGTCGTTAGGGTAGAAGCTTTGTAAAGATCATTTATGTATAATAGAAATAATAGTGGTCTAAGTATGGACCCTTGGGGGATACCGCATGTTATATTTTTTATTATTTGCGATGAAGATTCTTTGTTATAAACAAATTGTTTGCGGTTACTTAGATAGCTTTTAAACCAATTTAGGGTTCTATCTTTTATACCATAGCTCTCTATTTTTTTTATTAAAATATGATGATTAACAGTAACCAAAGCTTTTGATAAGTCAATGAATATGCCTAGTGTGAATTGAGAATTCTTATATGAATCGGCAATACTGCGTGTTACTTGGAGAATAGCGTGTTCAGTAGAACTGTTTCTCTGAAAACCAAATTTATTTTTATAAAGGAGTTTATTATCAATAAGATAAGTGTAAATTCTATTACACATTATTCTTTCTAATATTTTTGAAAAGACCGGTAGAACTGAGATAAGACAATAGTTTGTTATGTTGGTATGGTCACCTGTTTTAAAGATCTTTGGCTATTTTCAAACTATTTGGAAACGATCCTTGAGTAATAGGTGCTTTGAAGACTTTGAAGAGGATATCTTTAATCTCATTAAAAGAGTCGATTACAATATTTCCATTTATATCATCAGGCCCTATTGCTTTATTTCTTTTTAATGATTTAAATGCAAAATCAAATTCATTATAAGTTAGATTTGAAAAATTTATAGTTGAATTTGGTGATGATATAAATTCATCAACAGAGTTGTTGTCTACATAAGAAATCTTGTTTGATAGGTCATGTCCTACTGACAAAAAAAAGTTATTGAATTCGGCTGCGATTTCATTTGAATCGGTAATTAATTTATACTCAAATTTTATAGCATTCGGCATCGTATTTGTGTTTGACTAATGTTTGCTAGTGATTTCTTTCATTATTTGCCACACCCGCCTTGAATTATGCTTGTGTTTTATAAGCAAGTCAGAGCAGTAAATTTGTTTGGCTTTTTTTCGGAGTTTTTCAAATAGATTTTTTTAAACTTTGTAGTTATTTTTATGTTTGTCGGATTTATTTTTAAAATATTTAATATAGAGTTTTTGTTTTATTTTTGATGATTTTTTTATTCCTTTAGTTATCCAATGACAAGATATGTCTTTGGCGTTAAGAACTATTTCTCGAATAGGAAAATTTGCTTCATATATTTTGTAAAATTTATTAAAAAAAGATTTGTAGATGATAGTTATATCCTCATTAAAGTTTATATAGCTCCAGTCATGGTGTAAAAGTTGCTCTTTAAATAAATTTAAGTTATTGTTGCTATAAATTCGTTTTTTAATGTTATTTTACCATTCGTGTTTGTTTTGTGGTCAGCGCCTAAGCAGAAAAAAATTTGAAAGTGATCCAAAACATCAGTTTTTACAACACCTTTTTTGAGTGTAATATTGAAATAGTCATTGGTAAGAACGTTGTCAATTAAGGAGGATGAAGACTTTGTAATTCTAGTAGGTTTATTTATAATAGGTATTGTTCCCGTTTCAAATAAATAATTATAAAACTTTATTATATTTTTTTTTTCATTATACTGGAAGCAGTCAGGGAAATGAAATCCCGCAGTATATAATTTTTTTTTTCTTTTCTTGGCTAGTTTTTTCTATTAAATTATAAACTAGTAAGTTGCTTAGGTACTCAGTTCTTCCGGTTGGTGGCCGATAACAGCAGCTTAGTGTAATATTTTTAGATTTTTTATTTATTATTTCAACCGTTTAAATCTCAATATTATAATCAGAAACACTCATATCGCTTCGAATATTATACGCAAAGTTTTCTTTTATATAAAAAAGAACTCCTCCTCTACGCTTATTAACATTACGCTCTAAGAAGACTATATTAAAACCTGTAAGATGGAGATTAGAGTTTGATTTAAAATCTTCCTCTGTACATCAAGTTTCAGTTAAGCAAATAACGTTAAAAAAATTTTCCGTATGACAAATCATATTTAAAATATTATCAAAATTTTTTCTTAAACTTCTGATATTAATGTGGATTATATTAAAATAATCACGATTATCACTATTTTTAAATATGCTTTTAATTTTATCTGGATAAAAGTAAGAGCATTCAAATTTTGATCCATTAATCTCATTAAAATAACTAATATCTGGATCAGATTCAATGTTTAAATTAAAAGTATTTGTTTGAAATAAAACCCTTTTTTTTTGTTTTTGTTTTTTTTATAATCAGATAGTCTTTTCGAAAGACTTGGTGATTAATTTATTATAAACAACTTTGTCAAAATTACCTGATGAACGTATTTCTTTGGCTTTTATGAATAGCTGTTTGCGAATGTTGATTGTTCTCTCACTAAAATCTTCATTGGTATACATCTTTTCGTTCCATAATTTCAGCTTTTTGTAGTTATCTAGTATAGTTACACGATCTTTATAATCTAGAAATTGAACTACCAGGGGCGGACGCAGGTTTTTAATTTACCCCGTCAAAAAAATGCGCCTTACGCCATGTTGTAAGTGACGCAACTACGCCCACAAAGCAAATAGAAAAAATGGGGTGGGGGGGGGAGAAGGAATAAGTAAGGGCGGATCCGGACTATGTAGTAAAGAGGGGTGGGCAATTTTTCTTTTCGTTCGATCCAAACGATTAAAGGGGGCGATTTACAGGTTTAACAATTTTTAAGATGCAAGCCCCAAAAAAAAAGAATTTAGACTACACAATTTTATGCCACTTTTAAATAGCCTACCAAATTTACTTATGTTTTTACAAAATGTTCTTAGAAAAAAACATCTAAGGGAGGCCATCGCTCCCATAGCCTGCCCCCTATGTATCCCCTAAATCCTCCTGGCCTTGGGCTGAAGGATTTAAAGGGATTTTCGTTTTGCTAGTTCATTTTTTTTTTTTTTTTTTATTTGCATTCGCTCCCAACAAGGCTGCAAGCAACCACTATCAAGTTGGGAGTTACTAGGAAAAATAAAGAACAGAGTTATAGAGCAAGGAAACGGTTGACAGAAGACTTGAAAAGTTGAAAGTTGTATAAGTCAGGAAAACATGAAGATGGGAGAGAGTTCCAAAGGATTGAAGTGCGGGGAAAAAAACTAGATGAATAAAAGTTTTTAGAGCATGCAGGAACAGATACAGTAAACGAATGAGACTTAGCTGATTGACGAGTAAAACAAGAATGAGTTTTAGTTGATGGAACTAGAGATGGTAACTCCTTTGAGCAGTGACCATGATAGTATCTGTAGAAAAGAGAAAGAGATGTAACTTTACGACGATGGGAAAGAGGTTCAAGCTTAGCAGATAGTCCAGGTCCAACAACATTTACAATGCGTTTTTGGACCTTGTCAAGAAGAGAAAGTGAATTGTTAGAAGAACCAGCCCAAATATGACAACAGTATTCCATACAGGGACGATTAAGAGATTTGTAGAGGTAGAGAATGGAATCAGAAGTAATGAAATGGCGAGCACGATAAAGAGAAGCAACCTTAGCAGAAGCTAATTTAGCAATCGATTGTATATATGGTTTCCATGAAAGGTCAGTAGTAAGCGATAATCCAAGAAGACGTAAAAGGGAGGACTCAGAAAGAGGATTGCCATTCATTAATATAGGAATGTTGACCATATTAAGGTAGTTATTTGCAGTAAGCAATTGGGTTTTTTTTAGAGTTGAAATTCACAAGCCATTGTAAACCCCAATCTATTACTGAAGTGAGATCAGATTCAAGATCAAGATCAGCTACTTGTTCTAGGCGATCGAAAAGACTTTTTGTCAAGACAGGAGTATAAAGTTGAGTAATCAGCAAATAGAGCTACTTTAGATGAAAGAATGTCAGGAAAATCGTTTATGTAGATAAGAAACAAAACAGGGCCAGGATGGAACCTTGGGGATACCCAGAAAGTACTGGAAATAAAGATGAGTGTTGGCCTTCAAGTATGACTTTAATAAACCGGTCAGAAAGAAATGATTTGATAATCTCAAGAACTTTCCTAGAAACACCATATGAAGCAAGCTTATGGAGAAGACCAGCATGCCAAACTTTGTCGAAAGCTTTAGATATGTCGAGAGCAATAGCCCTAGCCTCACCGCCTCCATCTAATGCACGATAAAATCTTTCAGTTACAGCAGTTAGCAAGTCGGCCGTAGAGCGAAAGGATCGAAAACCGTATTGATTGTTTGACAGCAGTTTATTTGACTCAAAATGAAATGTGAGGAATTTGTTAATCAAATACTCAAAGACCTTGCTAATAACAGAAAGAAGCCTGATCGGACGATAATTGGAGGGGTCAGAATTTTTTCCAGAGTTTTTGAATATTGGAACCACAGATGCCA